AATGCCTTTGTATAGTCGATAAAGCACACATATAAATCCTTCTGCATCTCAATAGCTCTTTCCGATAGCATTCTCAATACAAATATCGCATTCCTTGTGCCAGCATCCTGGACGAACCCAAACTGTTCTTTTCCTATCTCAGGTCTTATCCTACTTCTTGCTCTCATCATCAAAATGCAGAGTAGAATTTTTATTATGTGGCTCATTAAGCTAATTGTTCTATGTAATTCACATTCAATTGCACCAGGTTTTTTTGGGAGGGCTATGAAAATCGATCTGCTGAGGTCCTCTGGAATTTCTCCGCTGTCGTATACCTCATTCAGGATTTCAGTAAGCTTCTCTACACCAAAGTCTTCCAGTGCAACAATCATCTCGGTGACGACTTCATCGGGTCCTGCTGCCTTATTCTTCTTCATTTTTTGTAATGCATCTTTAACTTCTGATTGTAAGATTTTTGGTCCTTCGATGGCTTTTCTTATTTCTGGTTTGTCGCCCCTGTCGTCTGCAAAAAGTTCACTGATGTATTCTGTCCAGCGTTCTAGGATTTTGTCCTTTTCCATAATGACTTCCCCATCCTTTGATCTTATACATCCTGTAGAAGAACAACATTTGGAGCCTGTTATTTCCTTAATCTTCCCGTGCATTGCACCTGGGTCATTGGTTTTGCACTTCTCAATTTCTGCACACTGTTCATTGAGCCAGATCTCTTTGGCTTCCTTACATTTCTTTCTTATTTCTTTGCTTACCAGTTTGTATTTCTCACTTTCGTGGTTGTGGATCTGTTGCCTAGAGCGCATTTTTTCCAAGATCTCATTTGTCATCCACTTGTTTTTTGACCTTTTCTCACGTTTAGGTACAACTTCTTTTGCTACCAATACTGTTGCTTCTTTAAAGGTTTCCCACTTAGTTTTTCCTAGATCTTCAAGTACTTTAAAACGATTTTGTACAGCCACTGCATACTTTTCTTGAATGTTTTGGTTTTTGAGTAGAGCACCATATTCCATTCTTATTGTTGTCTTTCCTTTCTTGATTGTCTTCATCTTAACCTTTAACTTGCATATTACAGGGTTATGATCACTACCACAGTCTGCTCCAGGGTATGCCTTTGACTGCTGAATTGCGCTCCAGTACCGTTTCTTGATGGCAATGTAGTCAATCTGGTTTTTAACATCTTCTCCCGGACTTCTCCATGTCCACAGTCTACGTGGATGTTGCTCGTACCATGTGTTGGTTAATACAAACTCATTTGCTTTACACCATTGAACCCATTTTTCTCCCCTTTCATTTTGTGTACCCAGACCAAACTTTCCAACGGTTTCTCCATCTGGCTCATTTCCTACCTTAGCATTTAAGTCCCCCATTACAATTGTGACATCCATAGACTTGCATTGCGTTTACTAACTAGTATGATTTAAATTGTTTTATGTAGTTCTTTGTGCAGGTATGCTAATGGTAATTGTGTTCTAGAAACATACGAAGTGCAAATACTAAGATTAATGTGTCTCGCCATAGTTCAGATCGTATAAAGACTGCGCTACGGCTGTACACTTTGTGGAATGCAAATCAAATGTTGAAAATCAAAACTCCAAGTTTACTAGTATATTATTGAACTAAAATGTGAACTGTCTGTATTATACTTATGATATTAGGATTTTTAAAATTAAAATCAAAGCAGAATTTCAGCAAGTAATTTTACCTGTTATATAATATACTTTTTAAGTTTTTAAGTAAAGTATATTTTAATCAAAATATAATCATATTCATTTTACAGTTTATTATTTATCATATTTAGTTAGTCAGCTACCGGTAGTAAGAAACACCTTAGATTTAAATAGTAAGGGCAAATTTATTTATTTATGTCCTAAGGTTTGGATGTATGTTTTGTTGGGGTGCCTCTGGATGCAGGGACATCAAATCGGTCTGGGACCAGATTTGGACCACGCCAGATCCGGTCAGAATCCTGTATTATCAGACATGTGAACAATGCCACTGGTATGTGAAATTAACATAGTCTTCACTGTAATAAACCTTTTTGGAGTGATTACTGTTCATAATAAGGATTTGAAATTTCATTTGGTCAGTTTTCTCATTAAGTAAATAAAAGGAAAAATGTGATCATATTTAGTTAAAATTGATGCTTTTTACAGTACTGATAACTCAGTTGAGACAAACAGTAGGCTTTTTGAATTGCATTATTATTATTATTATTATTATTATTATTATTATACCCCCAGGAGCTCAGCCCTTTGATTCAATACAAGTGGCAGATGTTGGAGATGTCTGGATGAATATCTACAACTTACCAGAGGCTTGTAAGAATATAAAAGATGGATTCACAAAGTTGATGAGCACTGGCTGTAAGACTTTGGCAGTGGGAGGAGATCACACCATAACATGGCCCATACTGCAAGCTGTCAAGGTAGGAGAACCCAATTATAGCATTTATAAATATTTATTTGTAAAATTGAAAATTTGTTATACAAAGCATTTACATGTATAAGATTATCTGTTAAGTTTTCAAGTATTTTTGCTAAAACTGTGTAAGATTTATAATGATTTATCTTTAGATTTATCTTTAGAATTTTCAAAAAAAAAAAAAAAAATTGGATTATTTATTTATGTACTAGTCTTGCATTTATAAAGTACTAAAAATTACTAGAAATTTCACTTACAAGATAATCACTTGAATTTCTAAACAGGATTCTATTAGAGAAAAAAAAATAGGGTCTGTTAATCTAACCTTGTTTTACTATTTTATTCATTTATTACCTTTATTGAATTCAGTTATTTGTAACTATGAAAATATAAAAAAGGGATAGATAATCAATTTAGTTTGAATCTAGTGAGTAATTACCGTATACAGGAAAAGCATGGCCCCGTTGGCTTAATACACGTGGATGCACATGCAGACACACAAGAAGCAATGCTAGGTGCCCCCATTGCGCATGGTACTCCTTTCAAACGAGCTGCAGATGATGGATGTCTCGACTGCCAGCGTGTGGTGCAGATTGGCCTGCGCGGCACGTGTGGAACGTTACAAGATTACAAGTGGGGAGAGAGCAAGGTGCTAAACTAAGGAAAATGATCATTTTTTTTTTAATTTTTTATTTTTTTCAGAGTGCCTAACAACCCAGTCTCTTGTCTCTTGCCCTTGTCTAGGTCTTGGTCAGTTGTTTTGTAATTATACCCAGTTCATTCTGTGTATCCATCATATGTACCTAGTATCCAGTCTGTGATATCCATGCTATCCATTATCCATCACATACCTATACTTGGTATATAGCCAACTCATGATATCCATTCTCACTGTGTATCCATTTCATTTTATGTTAATGTCATATGTATCCATGCTACCTATTCTCTCTGTCCATTTTATGCTTTTTACCCTTCATACCAGAGTGTATCTAATTTTACCATGATTGATATACTACCAATTCTTTGTATCCCATATCATGCTATGCATCCATTATATGTACCTACCTATCTGTAACACCCATTTTATGTATCCATTTCATTTTATCCATCCATCCATCCGTCTGTGGTGTACTGTTCTGCATATGGAAATGTAGTGTTTGTATTTAGTGATGTGAGTAGTGTTACCTGTAATTAATTTTTTTTATGGTGAATAGTTATACCTGTTGGCACCCTGCTTAAAAGCCCTGCACTTCTCTGCATTTTTGGTTTCATACTTCTACTATCCACCAGACAGACAGAGAAGATACGGGAAAGCCAAGTGTGTTGAACACAAACTAGTACTGCTGCATGCATACTGCTAACTTACCTGCATGTTACTATATAACTCCATCGCATACTGCCGATTCTACAGCTACTGCTGACGCCTACTGCCTATGGATAGAGCTACCACATGTTGCTACAGCGTACCATTATAGTTGAATTCTAAAGCTTTAGCTTTACTGCATGTGATATAAGATTCAGTGTATGCCAGCAGAGGTACTTCCAAGGGAATAAAAAAAAATATTTGCAAAATCTAATTATGTACTACATAGTTGTTTTCTGTGTTCACCATCATATACATGTATCCAACCTACCCATGTTGCCTGTTCCACACATCTGTATTTTCATGGGCATTGCCATGTTTATTTCCTGTAGGACATGCAATCTCAGGAAGTTTTTCACAATTTTTGATGAAATATACAGGATACACATTTTTGCAGGAGGAAAAGAAAGAGCTACAACTTCAGCTAGATCCAGTTCTTCTATTTTTTTTTTTTTTTTTTTTTGATAACTTCTTATTGCCATTTTGTCTTGACGGGGTCTGTGTTTTTGGAGTCATAGTATATAGCAGTGTACCGTTTTTATGTCCAGGAGAAATATGGCCCTGTCGGATTGGTTCACATTGACGCCCACTCTGACACGGGGGAGTCTATGTTAGGGGCGCCTGTTTACCACGGATCTACTTTCCGACGAGCCGTAGAGGACGGGTGCTTGAAAGGATCCCAAGTTGTCCAAATTGGCCTTCGTGGCACAGGGCATTCATTGAAGAGTTTTGATTGGTCAAAACAAGAGGTGTTTTGTTTGTGACTTTTCTGCTTTTTTTTGTTTGTTTGATTCGCTTTTTATATGCATTCAGGTGTGAATGATCCAGTAGCGGTTGCGGCCTGCTGCATGCTTGCATGAGTATCTGCTGGTTTGAACTCTCTGACTGAGATCTTATATAATTAATAAAAAGTGCAAACACAATGAAACACTTCCCGGTCACCTCTGGAAAGTGCAAAATATGATAAAGGTGTAGGGCACATGTTGTACGTTTATTCAGTCACTTATGTTGTTTGTATTTATGAATTGACAAATGGTCATTATTTCATTTTATGTGATTTTATTTAATATTTTATTTTTAGATTACTTTGTACTTCATAGACTAATCATTTGTTTTGCCTCATTTGATTGGTGAATTGAGCCTACCCGGTAGGTTAACCAGCCACTTTTTTCCAGTAGAAAAACCTTGAGCCATGACCTATGTGGACAAAACACAAAAAAGAAATCAGAAATGCAGACAAATACAAATAAGAAAAAGACAAAACAATTGTGTGTCTTTTTTTTTACTACTTTACAGTTAAGTAAAAATAATTTTGTATGGTCCAGGAAAAATATGGCCCAGTTGGCTTGGTTCACATTGATGCTCACGCTGACACCAATGAGGGGCTGCTGGGAGCACCTGTCAACCACGGGGCACCTTTTAGACATGCAGCAGTGGAGGGGTGCCTGGATTGTAAGAGAGTTGTGCAGATTGGGTTACGAGGGACGGGATATGCCATTGAGGATTATGAATGGGGGAAAAAGCAGGTGGTTTTATAGTCTTTAACTGAGTCTGCTGATGAGTAGGTCCTAGCTGTTTAGGATCCCTGCTGGCAACACATTTCAAAAGCTAAAGGCATTTCCCCAAACTGTTATTGTGTGCTGGCTTCTGCTAGAATTATAAAAAAAAATTAAGGAATGCATTTTTTTCTTTAATTCAAGTGATGATTTATATTATCATTCATGATTGTATGTTTTTTTTTTCTTTTAGTGACCCATACGCAGTGTTTTTTCATTGCATGTGTAAGATAAGTTCCTTCCCTTCATTCCACCCATCACTGCATTTGTCAGTCTGTCCTTCTGTATTTGTCTATCTGCCTTTCAGTCTGTCTGTCATTTTTGGTTCATGTTGGTCCATGTATCTCCAAGCCACCTTCAGTGTGCTTTAGCATATAACACATACTTTATACTTGACAATGTTCAATAATTTTTTGACATCTTGAACAAAATTCGGGCATGTCATTGCCACTGCATTACCTTGATGTTGTTGCACAGCTAAATAGTTAAGTGGAACAGTCTTGGCAATATATCTGTCTTGCCATTAACTGGATGGGCATAATTCTAAAACTAGGCATATTATTTTATATACTTCAGAAAGTTTTGACTAAAATTTTTAATGTTCATATGGACCCCATCTCATAATATCCTTTATTTATTTATTTATTTATTTATTTATTAAAATTGATATTTTTCAACCAAATGGATGACCTTGTAGTTAGTGTCTGCAGCCTTCAGAGCGGGATGATATGGGTTCGACCTACCATCTGATATATCGGGGGGGGGGGGGGCTAAAATAGTATACAAAGTTTCACAGTGCCTTTCAACTAGCAGACCCTCCATAGGGTAAAATTAAATGTAGATTCTAAAAATTTCTCTTTGAATCTTGATTTAGATTTCAACCCCTTTGTAATCACACCTCAGAAAGTCAGATTTTTTGTTTTCCAGAACAATGTATGTGAACTTCTATAGAAAAAGCGAAGAGTTCTAACACTGCGACTGCTTAGTATAACTGTCAAACTTCCAGGGGAAACATGGGCCCGTGGGACTTATACACATTGACGCTCACGATGATACAGAAGAAGGCATGATGGGGGCCCCTATTTTCCATGGGTCACCATTTTATTTAGCCTGCGAGGAGGGTTGTCTCGACACAAAAAGGGTTGTACAGATCGGTTTACGAGGATCAGGGTTTGGGGCCAAGGATTATTCATATGCAAGGAAAAAGGTGGCAAAATTGCTTGTCCGTGGATGATTTAAGTTGACTTTACAATTGGCTAACAGCAATTGCACTTTTTTTAACAACACACAAATTAGAATTTTTGGTGTTCTTTCAAAAAAACTACAACAGAACAGACTTTCATTTCATAAAATGTAATATTTTAAATATATTTTAATATCTTTTATATTTTTTTTGCCACTGTTGAAAATAGATAGAGTGTGCATTGCTTGCCTCTCTATTACTGTATCAGTAGCATTCCTACACCTGTAGCCATGCTTGCATACATGCTGCATTTTCAAAGGGCGAAGGGAGTACATCTTTCTCTGAAAAAGTGAATCTTTTTCTCCCTTAAGTTGAACCACCTTGAGACATGGGATAAAACCTGGATTAAATTTTCATTCAGCCCCTGGAACATTTTGACCAAAATGGTGGTGCTTTTCAACCCCCTCCCCCCAACACCCCGAAAATCCCCATGTCCATGGTCCTGATTGTGTATTCCAAACACATAATTGTGCTTATGAAAAAATTAGTAAATGAAAAATTCAAATATTTTGATCAGAAACATGGTTAGAAATGGTACAGTGAGAAAAAATAATAATATAAAAAAGAAAAAATATTAGAAAAATCCAAATGTGTCTTCAAAAAATACACCAAAGACAGTGCAGAATCTCTTTTGTTGTAGTTGTTGTTTTGTGTGTTGTGCTTGTTTCCCAGTGTTTGACTTCATTACACCTGTCTTCATTACACATTTTTCCAAATCATACTATATGCTTTAGCTTAGGCAGGTACAGCAATTGCCCTGGGTGTCACTAAAAGAGGGCACTACTAAAAGATTTAGGCTTTGTTCACATGCAATGTCTATTTTCTAAATTCTATTTTCTATTCGCGGCATGTCTTATGATCACGGTCTGTGCCCTGAATATCCCGCGGCGTAATTACTGGCAGCGCGAGCCAGTTACTATAAGTTACTATAAGTAACTGGCTCGCGCTGCCAGTAATTTCGCCGCGGGATATTCAGGGCACAGACCGTGATCATAAGATAGCGCGAATAGAAAATAGAATTTAGAAAATAGACATTGCATGTGAACGAAGCCTTATTGTAACCTTTTATCATCTATTTGTTGTCTTTTGTCTTCTGTGTGTTTCATTGTCAGTGCTATTCTCTGTAGAAAAAACACCCCTTTACAGATTTCTTCCTTTTGATTGAAATTGGTGTCTTACCTTTACATTGCCTTGGGCTAGTTTCAGAAAAGAACTTAAGACTAAAAAAAAAAACAAAAGTATATGTATATTAAATTGAAATGTTAAATAAAATAATAACACTGTATTCTAAAAAGAAAGAAATTAGACTAATTGGTACTTTTTTAAGATTATTTTAGTGGACGACTTAATTTTTGACCTTATAGATGACACACAACATTTTTTAGGTATATAAAAGTTTGTTTGTTTTTTTTTTAAACTGGCCATAAGGTTTTCAATACAATATATGTGTGTGCATGTTGTTCCCTTCTTAATTTCACCTGCTGCCTGCTTTTTATTTAATTATGCAGAAAATGCTTTTGTTGCCTTTGATAATTATTCATTCTTATAATTAAAGATTGTCATAATATTAAAAATGTGTTATTAAATGATTTTATATTTGTTCAAGTAAAAAAAAAACATTAGTTTCTTAGTTGGTAAATCCAGTTGATGAATATTTGATTATCATTATTCATTCAAACTTGAGAAGAAAAAATGCAAACATTTAGCATCCAGTGCATAAAACCTTTCATATTAGTGTAAATGTAAATATTTTTCCAATAAAAAATGTAGCATTAGAATTTAAAATAACGCTGTCCATTTATAACTTATGAGGCATTATTCCCTGTATATATAAAGAATATTTTATGTTCTAGGGATTCCGGATAGTCCAGGCACACGAGTGTTGGCACAAGTCACTCGCCCCTCTGATGGAGGAGGTGAGGGAGATGATGGGGGATGGCCCTGTCTATATCAGTTTTGATATTGACGGCATTGACCCTGCCTTTGCTCCTGGGACAGGTGAGAGAGAGAGAGAGAGAGAAAAGAACAAAAAGAGAGAGAGAGAGAGAGTGAGAAAGGAACAAAAAAGAGAGATAAAGGAGAGAGAGAGAGAGAGAGAGCAAAAAAAAGAGAGAGAAAGAGAGGGGCAGAGAGAGATAAAGAGAGAAATTAAAGTAGTGAGGCAGAGAGAGAGAGAGAGAGAGAAATAAATGAGAGAGACTCAGAGAGATCTAGGGGAAAGAGAGGCAAATAGCCTGTCAGTTAGGGAGAGCCATTTTGTGATAAATGACAAGTTTGAATAACCAATGAAGACAGATGGGTAACAAGAGAGAATGCTGCCTGGTTGTACTGTATTCTTTATTCTTTCTTGAATCAACAAATAACTGTGAAACTAAAAGGAAAATAAATAACAATAATAAATAAATAATAAATATCTCATAAAACAGTCTCATCAAACCAAATTTGTGTGTTACTATACAGTTACATGTGATATTGCTAACACTATTGTGAGACCAAACACTAGTAGCAACTACAGTACATTCTCTAATTTGAAACATGTACATTGTACTTAAATTTAACAATATTTAACAATAAAGTGTGAATAAAATTACTTTAAAACAATATCATAAATGTCACATGCTTACTTTTTTGCTCTCTTCTAAGGTCTCCTAAGCTAAGGTCCTGCCTGTCTCACTTCTTTCAAATGTCTGCTAAATTCAGCATAGAAAATGCTAGCATGCTGAGATTGTGCTAGTTGTTCTTCTAGTACAACACAACATATTATATTATATTATATTATATTATATTATATTATATTATATTATATTATATTATATTATATTATATTATATTTCAGGCACTCCAGAGATAGCAGGTCTGACCCCAATCCAGGCACTGGAGATCATACGTGGTTGCCGTGGGCTCAACATTGTAGGGGGAGACTTGGTGGAGGTAAGATTTAGGTGAAGTTCCGATGACAATGTGTAAATATGTCATTTAACATGCTATTAACAAAACACTAGCAGGTCCAAGACGCTGCAGGGTACATGTGTGTGTGAGATTGTGTGTGCGTGTGTGTGTGGCAGGGGGAGGGGGGGATAAAAATGTTTTGATCCCTTAATTGTTTTGCTCGCATATATATATAAAGTAGCTGCTGTAGACAAGGTTATTGTAATGGGAGGTCAAAAGGACTGTAAATAGTTCATTCTGGTTGATTTGATATGTGTGTGTGTGTGTGTGTGTGTGTGTGTGTGTGTGTGTGATTGAGAGAGAGAGGGGGGGGGGGTTCTGCTGTAACCTCTCTCCCCTTGGTCAACCAAGTACAGTGGAACTGAAATTTCCTTTTTCTTCCCTAGGTGTCACCACCTTATGATACAACAGGCAATACAGCCTTATTGGCAGCTAATCTGCTGTTTGAGATGCTCTGTGTGTTCCCTGGTGTGAAGTATGCTGATGTATAGACACTACTGACTGCAGTTTTTTTTTCCACCTGGCCCAGCTAGAATGGGAGCCCCGGCTGCCCACGGGAGCCCAGGCTGCCAAAGAGACTGCCAGGGAGACTGCCCTTTTGCAGTCTGGGGCTCCAGTGTGCAGTCTCCNTAAAAACATCTTGAAAAATCTCCATTTTCATATCCATGGTATTTGGACTCTCATGAAGACAAAACCCCATTTTATATTTAGTTACCATACCATTATTTTTTCCACATAGTTTGCATTGTGATGTATATTTTGTTAGTATTTGAAAGTTTGGTGGTAAAAAATAGGTCAAAATTGAAATGATCACCAAATATCAAATAAACAGCTTTTCTATAGGGGATTCATTGTTTGGTAAAACACTCATTTTTAATTTTCTTCTATTCTCATGAAAACATTTACCTGTGCCAATGTATCCTCTATCATGCATACTACAAGATAAAAGTCATATACTCAAATAAAATAAGATTTATAAAGTTCTGTAGGGGGAGTCAAAATTTCAAGGGGGGGAGTCACATACGCTAGAGACACATCCCTATCACTGCCAAAATGTAGTCCTGTCTTCAGGATATTCAATATTAATTGAGGGAAGAGAAGGATGTTAACTCTAGAACAGTTTAGAATGAACCTGAAAAAGTTGTTGGGAAAAAAGAAAGAGAGATCCACCATAACGCTAACTGACTTAAGCTTCCAAAAAGCATTGAATTCTTAGTGAATTGAATTCTTATTGAATTCCTCTCTTTTTGAACTTATGTTATTATGAATCATTATCTAGGTGTTAGAACATTCAGTTTAGTTTTCATATACATTTAGTCTGTCAGAATTGTTAGTCACAATGAAATTTGTGTTAAAATGTAAGCATAATCATTGATATGAAAAACCATCATATCTTACAAAATACAGAGTTTAAGTATTTTTGGCGATTTTTCTCCAAAATACTAAAACCCAAGTAGCAGCTCTGATAATAGAGATAGACTAATTTGGTTTTTTTGCAGTTTGTTTTTAAAATGTATAAGCATCTTTTTAGGTGGTTTTGGCACTGTTTTGGGGAAAAAGGTTATCTAAGGACCCCCCCTACTAATTGTATTGTTTCCTAGTTTTCTTGTTTTTGTTTTAAATTTATTATTACTTTTTTAGACTACACAAAATGTACGCAGGAGGGGACTCCCCGTAAAATCTCCCCATGGGCATAAGTTATGATCTGCACAATACAAACATAATTAAACACTTCTATATAAGTTCAGTTTTTTACATGGTCAATTGTAGAACATATCACAAGGTTCACGAGCACTGCAACTCGTCCAAGTCAAGCGAAAACATCCAGTGTTTTGAATGCAAGAAAAAAATTAAATAACTGTGTAACGTCACATATCTAAATTAATTTATTGAGATGCAATTAATTTCTTTAAAAGAAAGTATTTTACCATAACATGCCTTTAGAACTAAAACATTGTATATTTATATCAATTCTCAGTGGCATCGGGGGGTCAAGGGGGTCCTGATTCGTTAAGCACGTACATTACACCCGTGCGGCTTTTTTTCCTTATACCCAGTGATTCGCAATTTTCAGGATTTTGACTCGCATTATCAGGTAGATATGAAAAAGCTCCCATTAGTGTGAATTAAGATTGGTGATTTTGTTTTGAATTATAAATAGTGATCAATCCCCCCTACCCCCCCCCCCACCCCACACA